AAATAAAATAAATTTTTAGCAATACGGACAAAAAACTTATCGAGTCCCAGTCCAAATGCATCTGGTAAGTCGAGTCCGTGCCCAAGTTTTTCTGGTACTATAGATGAAGGAATATTGGCAATATCACCGTGTAAAAGAATCGACATTAAAACCAATATACCGTTAACCAGCAAACCAATAGCGAAAGATCAAAGCCCAAAAAGTCCTCGCCTACATATAAACGCTAAAGCATCGACGTCTGAACCCAACACAAATGGCTTATCGCACAGTATTGAAAATACCATTGAGACTGAACTCATAAAAATACCCGAAGAAACACAGCACATCACATGGAGCGATTTAGTTGAACAAGACGAATCTCAAGGAGCTATCCCACATCACGTTCAACAACAACAAACAACTGAAAATATACTCGAACCAGAGCCTATTTTGACATTTGATCAGTATAGCCAAACTAGTGGATTTATTGACGAATACTTAACATTAGCACAATGGCGAGATAAATATGAAAACAATCAAATCATTGAAAATACTGTTGGGACGCCAACAGGGAACGCAGTTTCACATACAAAAAAAACTCTCGATGAAATGGAAAATATGTTTATGAAAAGAAATTCAAATCAGCCAAGCAATCTTGTCCAATCTTCGTTTGACCTTTCAAAAGAAAATACATTAAAACCAAAAAGTACCATTGTTGAAAAGTCGACCAAAAAATTGGCTCTTCCAGAAGAAAAAAGAGTTAAAACTGGTACTCAATTGAAATATTCAAATGTCGTGGTCCGACCATTATCTGTAACAAAACCGAATAGTTTACCAAAAGCAACAACAAATCGATTACATACAAAACCAACAGTTAATGTCATCGGACGATCATCTTCTACTCAGAATATCGCCACAAATGCTAATTTGATACGAAAACCATTTCCAATTACAACAATGAATAAATCGAAAGTTTTTCCACAAAAAGAAACACTTTTGAGAGATTCAGACAGACGAAGTGTCAGAGCTACTGTACAACGCTCAAATGGAATTTCCGGTGTTCCATCAAATATTTCATCACGCTTGGCAGCTCGTTCTAAGACAATGATCGATCTGCATAAAACACCAACCGCTAATGAAAACACGATGTCACGGGTTAGCATGGATAAATTGCACGTTCGCAAATCAGAACCTCGTTCGATTTTGACCCGAACGGAAGATGATGAGGGGTGGTTGACTGTAAATTCACTTTCTTTTGGATTTGATTTTCATTATATTTTTCCATTAATTATTGATTCATTTCCATTCTTTTCTATGTTATTGAACCGTAGGTAAAAGCCCGACGCCGATCAAGTTTACATTGGTCGAATCGATTCAATCAGCCATCAGGCTATGCCAGTTTACCAACACTAACTTTACTTAATGAAAAAGAACCATCAAAGGTAAAAAATAACAAAAAGGTCATCAAAACAGTCGAAACGGAAACAAACGTTGCTTCATCAGTCACTAAAGGTGCAAATATCGAACCCATGTCCAAATTCAAGAACCAAGCAAATGTTGAACGTTCTGAACTAAAATCCAAAATGCTGAATGCTAAAGACGCAGAAAAACCAGAATCGATCATTTCGCGCGCAACAATTTTACAGCGTCAGCGTTCCGATATCACTGGAATAAAACTGAATAATTTACGTAAGGAGTATTTTAAGAAACTTAAGGAACATTTGAAGAAAAATTCATCAACAAAAGAACAAACGAATGAAAAATTAGATATATTACCAACATTGTATGCAAGTTGCCTTGAAAGTGAAACGTTAAATATTGAAATGAACAAACGAGATGCCGAAAGTGATAATGAAACTGAAAGTGATGAAAATCAACGGAAATTGCTTGAAGAAGAAGAATGCTTAGAGCGTCAAATTTTTGAATTGCAAAATACGGAAATTGATGTGGATACAGAGATCGATGATGCGGAATGTGATAGTGAAGGTGAACTCGAACAATGTGATGAAAATATGACCTTAGAAGCAAAATATCAACATTTATTATCCGATTTGTCAACTGGTGAACGAATTCAAACCCTTGCCACATTACAAGCTTTCGTCTCCCGTCATCCAGGGGTGAATGCAATGTTGCACCAAAAATTATCAAGTCCATCGCACAGATCATTGACCGAAATTTTAAAAAAATATCAAGAGAAACAACAACGTGCGAGAGATATGCGCGAAATATTAAGCAGAGAAAAAACATTAAAATTACAAGCATTATTGGCTCGCGTTGAAGATGTAAAAATTGCAAAACAAAAACTCATTGAAGAAAAGAGGCAACGAATGGATTTCAAACTACTAAAGGCTGCAGAAAATCGAAATCAATACCTTAAGCATAAAATTCGTAAAGCACACGATGAAGAAGAAAAATTGAAGGAAATTGCTTTTATCAAGAGCCTAGAGGCTCAAAATAAACGTTTAGATTTGATGGAACTAAGAAAAGAAGAGCGACAACGTTTACAAGATTTAGAAACAGAACGACAAAAGCGAATGCAAGAAAAAGTTGCGAAAGAGGCCGCTGTTGAAAAAAGGAGGTAACGGCCTTAGATATGATAATTCATGATTTTTTATCGATCACAACAAAAATAAATAGGAACTTACATCCATAAGTCTAACTTTGCCGCAATGTTTCCAAAGTAGTATGATCGATTTAACACGTTTTTTGTTGCTCGTTGACGTTTATACGTTTATATAAGTTTTCGATAGATGGCGACACAAATAAGATTTTAATTTTAAATATTTATTCTCTCCATTGAAATCTATGAAAGAAAACGTAATAGTTACATGCTTTGTTGACAAGGATAATTCTAGTTCAAAACTATTTCAAAATTAAGAAATTCAACAAAACAAAAAGCAGTCCTTTTCAGGACTACTAATTTATTTTTATAAAGAATTATTTAAAACCAATCTCTCAAATACCATTGGAATTAAAAAAAAA